GGTGTCGCCGCTGGTTCCGCCCCCGGTGTCGCCGCTGGTTCCCCCCCCATACTGTCGCCACCAGCTTGACGCACTCCTTAAATTAAAAGTTAGCTTGTTCATTGAGCACAACAGCAGATTACTCACTTTCAGATATGCTCTCAGCCTCTGGGTGTTTCAGTTCATGAGCTACATCTAGAATAAGGGCTACCAGTTCCCCGAAATCTGGGGACGCAAGCTCTTTTATGAGTCTCTCTTGTTCAAGGCCACTGATACGATTAAGCTCCTCCCATACAGCGTCTTTGAGCCTGTTTATTTGGGGGGTTGAAAGAACATGGTTGGGATCCTTATAAGAGTCAGGCACCTCGTAGACTTCTTTCTTGTGTTGGTTGCGGTGCGTAATGAAGTGTCGAGCAACAAGTTCAGCATACTTTGGGGCGAGCGCCATATTGAGAATCAGAAGGTAATGATTTATACTATCTATTTCTGGAGAAATGTTGCAAGTCTACAAGGAGCTGTCGGGTTCTTATAGTGCGATACTGACTCTTAGTTGTAACTCCTGGACCCTAGTAAAGATACCCCTGATCTGCATCTTAGGGCTATCTCTACTACGGCCCTCCTTTTTCCATACACTCTATAAAGTCATCCCTTCCTTTCTCCTTAGCTCACAGTAGTCCAAACGTCAGTATTTTCAGTTAATGCCTCTCCCTTTCTGATGGGTCTTAGGAAGTTCAGATAATGTACGCCATGTGAAGACACACCTATTTTTATATGCGCTTATATAATTTGAATTACCTCAAATAATAAACCAATATTTATAGTTTAAAACCTCTAATGACTGAGTATCACTCTGCCCTTTTCCGCAGAATCCCATTTTGCTTTACAAAGAGTGATGAAGATTGCCATTACCGTGTGTATGTATGTAAAGAAGTACAGGATATGAAGGGCATGATCTCCCAGCACGCCGTCAGGTTATCTTTCTCTAATGATCATATTTTGTTACTGCGTTAAAAGAAGGATCTAGGGTTAGGATTTCGGGTGCCACTGTACATAAAGTATACTATACTAGTATATAAACATGGTGTGTGGAGCTTGAACATTCTGCGCGCGACTGAAAGGTCTCGACAACAATTCTTCTACATTTTCGCGTTTATTTGCTGATTGGCCTGTCTGGCCCGCGGATTGATGCACAAAATAAAATAACTTCCAAGGGTCAATTGTACATATCGTACCATGAGTCTAAGGGAGTCCCAGGCAATAACAGCCCTCTATTTTGTACTGTACTGTACCCCTGAGCTCATGACATCCGTTGTTTTTCTCCCCAAGTCGGTCCTCTCTTCAGATAAACTGTTTAATTAGCTGGAAATACTATCGCTGACTATAGGGTTCTATGTTGGCATTCCCTGGTTGGCAAACCGAAAGGTTTAGGTGTATTTGCAAAGTCAATATACCTCGCGGCACACTAGTCATTGCAGATTCAGGCCTGGCAAAGGTCAACCGCAGCAGTGCAGACGCGAGAGTGCTTACAACTACTGTAGAGTATCAGGGCGTAATCATATTGAGAGCTCATGGATATGAGTGCAACCGGTTCAAGCGGTCTGCTGAGCGTGAAATGGGACAGAATTGGAAGCACACCCCGCAATTACAGAACACAGTACTCGCCATCCATACAATAAACTCCTTTCGCTGTGTATTCCTTCTTGGGCCTTGCATTAATCACCCATTCCTTCCCAACATTCACTTGCATATGTATAATACCGCGCTCAAGGAAGAGACAATCCATGCCATACGCGATATTACGGTAGGTGAGGAGCTCATCATCACGTGTATCAGATGTACTAATCATACTCGGAGCCAGCGTCTGGCCGAACTAGACCGATAGGGATTCCAGTGTACGTACCTAGTGTAGGATGGTTTATCATCTTGGCATGGCCGCAGCTATTTCACTGATTTGTTAGTTAAAAGGCTTACTCAAGTACAACACGCTCGATCACTAATAGTAAGCTGTTGAACATAATGAGCAAAACAATAAAAGGGTAGGCCCTGGGATATTGCTGAATTCCGACAAAAACAACACCGGAGAGCGCATGGGAGTTCGCACAATACAGTATGAAGAGGCTAGAAAACAAAAATTGAAGTCTCATTGAGTTGCGTTTCTGAAAGTCAAGCCAGTTATTAGCATCCTATATAGAAAATGACTGAGTAAGTGTCGGACAGGAGGACCACAGACAATGTTTTACTACTTACTAGCTTCCATATGGTTAAAGTAACATACGCCCTTTAAATAATTGTCCCGTATTCTGACCAGTAGCTGTTGCTAGCTATGAAGCACTGCTAGTCTTGCTTGTTAATACTGTACATATTTTAATACAATATTATACAGTGCTGTGGACACTACTTCAAAATCAGAGAAGCGAGTGGGCACGTCTCTTTTCTTTTAAGCGGACCTGTCAACCTAGAAATACCTTTAAATGCCACGTATTGGGACTCCTCAAGAGTCCGCGCGTTTTTGATGGTCTAGTTGTATATTTTGGTCAAACGAAATAATCTGCAAATACTGTAAGCATCGAGCACCTTACGCAATACACACCAATGCTGTACTATAGCCTCGTGAGATTACGCTACAGTATAGTAATGCTTGTTGGCCAATCAGATTTCCAAAGACTGTAGGGATGTCTCTTGCCAGGGACAGCCTGAAGTAGGCGCAAAGAGCGATGTAGTACTTGCTTCAGAATACTATTTTTAGAGAGTGTTCATCGTGTAAGAACGTTGCGGAAAATACGTTACATAGTATGTCAACTGTCTTTGAAGCACAGTAACATTCCGTGCCACAGCGGTGTGTACAGTACATATAGTTAAGTAGGCAGCACTACAGGGGCGAGTTAGAATTGCAGGATTTCCACGAACTAGCTCTAGAAATCAGATTTGTCTTGGCCCTACAGTCTAGGAGCGGTCTCGAAGTGTATAACATAAAAGTGTATTTCGAGAAGTACTATGTATGCAAGGAGACGGAACAATGTATCCTGACTCATCCAAGACTTAGCAATAGTAGCTGCCTTCATGGCACCTAGCACGCCAGATTCCTATAAGGCTACCGGTAGTAGCGTGCCAGTTCTATGTGGAAGATATATCTTAGATCACATCATATCAACGTGATCTGCAATCCAATTGAGGCAAGGGGCCATGGTAAAACAGTGAACGAAACCATCACCAGTCAGCCAGTCGGCTGTACAACAAAGAGCTATAGTGGGTGCTCGAGAAATTAAACAGTATCCTTGTTTGACCCTTTAGTTCGAGGGGCTGAAATAACTATTATGGTTGCCAAAACTTTTCAACTCAGAATCCTATTCTGTCCCCCATTTCACAGAGGGCTTCTCTAAAGCATAAACGAAATGAAATCAAACAGTGGTGTAATATACATTTACATATTTCAACTGCTCCTAGTGTTTAACTGGCAGATGAGTCTTAGGATTTTGATGTTGGGGAAGGCGAAGAAAAGTGCGGACCGTCTAGCAATAAAATCTTATTAATTTGCCGGGTGAGATGAATGAAAAATGTTCCAAAAAGGCTTCCACCCAGACCAACTGTTTAACGTCTTATCATATCAATTTGCTACGTCCATTCAATCTTTGCAGACCTAATCTATAAATCCGTAAGTAAACAACTCGTTTCGCTCGCATCGCCAGCTATATATTCCTTCTTCTTCCTTACAATTTCATCTTTCCCGGCCACATCACTCCTGTGTTATCTTTTTATCATACTGCTCACGGCCTTGCCTGTCTCATATCTGAAATCACAAGGACCCTGGCATACCAGCATTATGGCTACACATCGATCAGCGAATCTTAGGGACAATTTATCCCTTGTTCTTTTGCACGCTTTCAGTAGCGCCTATTTCTTTTCCAAGTTCATCTACCAGTCTTTGCTCCATGCCCAATGGAAATTTTCAGATGAACTGGTAGTCTTAGGCTTTCTTCTGACTGTCATTGCCTTCTCCTCTCTTTGCATACGAACCCACACTACGCAGCAGCCACCGGAGTGGGAACAAGCGGGAACGATTATTCTGATCGCTGTCTCAACCATATCATATATCTACTTTCAGTTCTATTTCGAAAAGTGGCCACTTGCAATCTATGTGGCAATATTTTCTCTGACTGCGAGGAAATGCGTATCTTATTGTTTACAGTCTAAGGCGAACTTTCCTATCATGTGCCTCACATACGGCATGCTCGCCTTGATTCCTGTAATTCATGCGATCTTCTGGCCGTCTGCTTGCCGACTGCCGATGACCGCTCCTTTTCTCACATTTTTATCCTTGACTGCGATTGGTGGCCTGAGCTATACACTACGAGTCCCACAGAGACTTAATATACTCGGATGCGCTTCTACGAGCAATTTTATCACGCATGCACATATCATGATCGCGGTCATATTCTTTTGGCAGAAATTGTCTGTAGCATATGCATCAGATGCTGTTCAAAACATAAATCAGTGCAAAAAGCTGACATGGTGAGACTGTATGGGGCTCCAGAATATTTTGATGTGTATCAGTTTCTATGTCATGGCTTTAACTTTAGTCTCAAACCTGTGCCAAGCTGAATGAAGCGAAGCCCTATTCGGAAGTTGCATAATTATGCTTATGCCTGAAACTTCTAGCATCCCCCAATTTCAATACTGTAATGTGACCGAGTTGCTGTATTTTACATGTGCTTTTCTTGAAAAATACAATATTTCATTTCAAACATTTTTAATGTAACAAAATCTAGCAATGATCGAATAGCAATTCGGCCTATTGGCATACAGAATATCCTGACCCAGGTGCATGGACACTCGGCCGCCAGTGAGGAACATCAGGCCTTAGACCAGAAGGGCATAAAAGGGATCTCCTCCCTCGACTGGAGTCCAGCATGTAACTAGCCTTTCTCCTCTTTTCGCAGATACTCGCACATATAAAACCCCTTCCCAGCCTTTGACTTGTCTCTCGTAATGACGACTGCCATGCTAGGTTCTGCGCGCAACCCCATCCCCATTGATATCGATGACAACAGTGTCGAACTATCCGATGGCACCGGTGGCGATACCATCCTAGACACCCCAAGCCATTCCTCGTAGAGTCCTACCTGCTCTGGCAAGGAGGACGCTACTCAGGCGCATCGAAGCTTCGAAGACTGTGAGTCAATGCCTATGGATGGCGACAGAGCCAAGGGCATGACGAATTATGGTACCAAGTTTGGCGGACAAGCGTCGTCTATTGATGAGCATGTCAGTGGTTGCCGTCCTTGCACGAAGGGCGGCAGGATACCTCCACAGATTGAACAAAACGATAACCAGGCTATGGTTGATGGTATGTTTCATCCTCGCCTTTGAGAGGGTTCACCGTTTGATTCACCGTGTAGCGGATACCCAAACCGATGAACGCCAGCGATCCAGCCCGACGGTCCTACCACCATCTAGTGCCGAAATGGACTCGGTAACAGGTATTCTTACGTACCGACAAACACTGGACGGTGATTTGGAACTCCTCTGCTTCGAAGCGAAGTGGTGCTCTTACTCCAAGCTCAGACAGTGTGCACCGGATCTGCTGCATGAGTATGTCCATCGCGCAAGCCTCCGTGAAAGTCCAAGACTACACAAAAGGCGAGCAGTTTCTGAAACGCCACTGAGGCCACAGAAGCTGAAGAGAGCTAGGCAGGTGTAAACGATAAATGAGACCTGTGTCTTTGCATGCTTTGGATGACCCACTTGTTTTATTGATTGATGGTTTCCTCTTGTGATCTTCTGTGTTTTCGTAATTGGTTTCCTATGATTCATGCCCCATGATGTCTGAATACCGAGAAAAGATAAGCATCTTATCCTCTAAGGCGTAAATAGTATTGTTGGATTGTTGGTCTTTGCTGTTTTTGAAATGCGACTGTTGTTATTCTATTTTAATGAATTAGTGTATGCCCGGCTGCTATTGGTTGTTCGAAGCTGCCCACCGTCTCCAAGCAGGGTCCACTCCAAAGTAAGTCACTCCACGGCATAAGTTCCCGTTGAATCTCATTTGTAGCCGACGCGAAGTCGTTTTCGCTGGTGTTCCTCTGCCCCATACGAGAGCTGCTCGCGTAATATCTTTCGCTTTTTGGTCAGTCGTACATCCAATTGCGAACGATGAAAGTCGATAATCAAGACCCGACCTAGTTCAGCGTTCCATAGAATATTATCTGGCCGAAGGTCCTGATGCAAAATCCCGAATGAACGAATCGTCTTTTGAGAACGCAAAACTTCATGCCTGATTGCCTCTACATGTTTCATCTTACTGATGGGTTCACCACCCCAAGCCATAAGTAACATATGGCGGATCTCTCCAGCTCCATGTAGGAAGTAGATTTTGGCCAGGTCGATTGCACCGAGAAAAACAGGGACTGCAGACCCTTGTGCTTGCCAAAGTATGCGGTAAATATCTGCTTCACGTTTCACCTCGTTCCAGAGATAGGACGTAGTCCCTTTACCGACAACTGTATACCCATACGCAGTGCAGGTGATCTTGAACGGTGCTCCAGATGCTCCACAGGCTCCACAGGCTCCTATCGGCGTGCAGTCGCGGTCAAGATTCTGATCCAGCTGCTGTTTGATCTGCTGAACCAAACTCTTGGTGTCGATCAGGTGTTGGCTGCTACTTCTACCCTGCCGATGGAGCATAACATTTGGGCAATGATCATCTAGCTGGCCTCCTTGTTGTAGGCCAAGTAGACATCGCTGGGTACAAAATTGAGCGCTGTGTTGATACCGGCCGCTTTCATTATGTCGGGACCCCGTCTGACGTGCCGATCGTTGCACCGATGGAGATGATGGAGACGATGTGACCTGGCTGAAGCCACGCTTCCGCCCACCGGGAGCAGGGTCCATATCGGAATCAGGGGAGTCAGTGGAGTCTATCATATTTGGCGCACACTGAGCTCGAGACCGCGTCGGCATTCGACGGCGCTGTGTAGGAGATTCAACAGGCGAGGATGACGGGAGATACTCCGAGACAGTGCGCGCGGAGCTACCCGAGGGACTATATTCTGAGCCTGGTGGGTTCTGTCGTAATTCTCTTTCCGGGATTTGGGAGCGGGTGTGATCAAAACTTGTCTTCCAGAGCGGCAGCTGTGCCCGTGCATTATTTCGCCACGCCTGATCGCGAAATCGCGCGCCGAAGCTCATTAGACACAAACACAACACCCGCGCAATAGCTGTCAATGGCTGCTCGAAGCTGCAGTTATCATCAGGATCAATCTCCATGTTTGGCTCACATAGATGGTAGTATAGGGTACTCGGTTCATCATAGGGGACATGTAGCAGAACCAACGCAAATCCATTAGTCAAATAGGAGTACTCGAGCCCTTCCTGAATCATCACATGGTACTCTTGGGTCACAGCGGATCCTGTCAGCCAGGCCGCATTATATTTCAATTTCGTAGGCTCTTCAGTGGGGACGGAATCAGGCTGGACTATCTCTTCCCAAAAATTCATCGGTTGCAGTCCTGCACGAAGGTTCTCAACAGATAGCTTATGAGGTGGCTTATACTCGACTGTCGTCAAGAGGGTATTGTTATCTCCATCAACTCGGTGAATACAGAACTGATCCGGTCGGGAACGCCTGGAACTTGTCGCCCCGTCCAATTGAGAGTCATTGGCTTCGATGGGATCGAGAGCGTTCGCATGATTGTCAAACCAGACTCCATCACCCAGGCCAAATTCATCTCGAGCAGCCGGTATCTTGCAGAGCTCAGCGATAATATCATGGACATGGTCCTCCACACCAAATCGTTCATAGCTCTCTAGATCTTGTTCACTGCTTAGTGCCCTTTTATTAAAACGTTTCCCAAAACCTTCCAGCTCAAGACGAGGCGGGAACAGCTGTGCCGCAGCCTCCCCTGGAGGTTCTAGATAGGTGCAAACAGAGCGGAAGACCTCCTGTTGCCTGGCGGCACAGTCTTTCCAAGGCTGAAGTCGTAACGGACAGCATTTCCCTGTGGGCGGCGGGATCTTTCCGGTTGTGGATTGGGACGGGGATGCGGCTTGTAAAGGCAGCGAGAAAAGGGTATGGCAGTGATGAAGGAGTTCCCGAAAGGTTGTGGGTCGTGTTCGTTCCTTTTCCTGTTCTCGTTCTTCCTCGGCCTGTACCCTCAACTCCGCTTCCCGCCTCCGCTCCTCCTCTGCTTGTCTCCTCAGGTCCGTTTCTCGCCTTCGTTCTTCCTCCGCCTTTAGAAACAGTGTCTTGTAATCCGGTGAGCTGGAGCTAGCCATCTGCTCTGTAAGGAGGTAGGGTAGGTAGGGTGATCAAGAGGCTTCGTTTTTATGGAGCTAAGGTGAGGAGAATTAGGCATCAAGGGGTCTGTACGTATCAGCTGACCACGGATTCCGGCCAAAGTATTCTTCCATCAGAATAAAGCCCAGTTGGGGTAGGGAGTGATCTGATTACATACCGTGTCATGCTCAGAATTATATTAACTAAATTAGGCTATGGTTGGTCTTTCTGCAGGCAAGAACTTCACGTTTTATTGGCCAATGCTCCCTTCCCTCATGTATTTCAACAACTCAGTGACTGGCTGTCAAAGGGTTGGGGGCATGCTTGTTGTGCGAGTTAGGACACTAATGATTTTGGCAAAGTGACTAGTATAACTCTCATTCAGTATTTCAATGGATTATGGGAAATGCGAGCTACGACACCTAATTGATTGACTTTATAGTAAATACTTGACATAAAGTCAAAGCGATAGAGAAAAAGAAAAAGTAAGTAGCCGCCTATCCATAGCATACCGCCTACCCAACTGCCTTTCGGGATACGCGGTTCCGTGGCTACTCCGGTATTAAACTAGCGAGACAAACTTCCAGCTGCGCTAAGCTTCGTACAAATCCACGTCAAAACCTAACGTACCCTGAGTGGGAATGCTATAACCATTCGCATGGAGAGCCATTCGGACATGTGTTGAGGACAATCAGACACCATCACTCAAAGCAACATTGCGCGCAACTTTGACGATATTTTTTATCTAAATCAATGGTGTTAGAGCGTTTACTCATACCGAGGCAGCTTACATACCTGCCTGCCGTTCAACTTGATCTCAGAGAACATGCTAAGATCTTTCCCTTCAATATCTGCATTCGCCTCCTTAAGAAAATGGACAAGAATGTTCCGCCGAGCCGATGCATCAAGGTCATCATACAGCAACTTTAGCTGAATGCGATCAAGAATAGCATCATCGAAATCGTTAAGTAGATTGGTGGTAAGGAAAAATATCCCGTTATAATACTCCAGTTTGCGAAGAAAAGTGGCAACGATGCGGTTCTGTTCTAGTTGCAGATTATTGCGTCGTTGCAAATACACATCGGCCTCGTCGAGCAAGAGCACTGCCTTCCAGGCAGTTGCCACATCGAAAATCCTACTCAGTTGGAATTCCAGCTCTCCTGCATCCGTACTCAGTTGTCCAGTTGAAATCTGGGGGCCTTAGCGCACATCGACCTAACCTTGCCAAAGGGACCGACCTACCGAATAGAGTGGCCGCCGAAGTTGCTCGGCGATAGTTTCTGCCGTCAATGTTTTCCCTACACCTGGCGGCCCACTATCACATGAGTTAGCAACACCTCTTATCACGAGAAAGTGGACCTTACTGCAACAGAATTATAACACCTTGTCCCTTCCCAGCAACAATATCATCCGCATTTTCGTTGTCATCGTTTGCCGTGTTGGTCCGACTTTCCGTTAGAGACTTTATGACTTTTCTCTTTGCGTCTGGAATACTTAGCATGTCAAACGGCGATGGCGAAAATCTGATTTGTTGAATGCTCTCCACCGCAAACTCTCCTAAGGATTGTTAGCGCCTATAAAGTGTGGTCTTTAGTGTGAAGTCCTACCCCAGATTTTCTCATTCAGGGAATATCCAAGTACTGACGGACTACATCTCACTAAGTCACGCTCCTTCATACTTCTCGGATCCATGCCGTTACTCTTAATCCGGTCCACCGAAACTCTCTCCACAGTGTTGCTAAATATATCAATGATGGAGATCTTTTGAGTCTCGAACTTCGGATAATTCGGGTTGCTCCTCCGGAAAAGCTTCATATCAATCATAACCCTGCTGCTCACATGCAATTTCATGAGTCGTTCTTGGTTTAGTACGAACATGTTTCCTTGATATTGGCGGTAATGACAGCCCAGTAAGTCGATGTATTTTCGGCCATTTGATACACACACACACACAATTTATTAACGCCCGGCGGCTAAGCCGAAAGGGCAACTATCGCTAATATACTAATACATGTCCTAATATATACTGTGTCTCCTTAGAGCCCATACATAGTTGCTTTTAGTATATGTCGTCTCGTTTGTTTGCATCGTAGGAGGGGGGGGGGAAAGGGATTCTCGTGGGTTAGTAATTTTGTTAGTAGACTAGCTTGAAGGCGCTTCTTCAAGTGTTCAACATCCTATCTTCGGCAGCTGAAGCGCGTCTACCGTCTCTGGCACGAGGTGGTTGGTGTAAGTTGGTCGGTTAGGAGGATTGGGTGACTGGTAATTATCTCTATGGTTATGTGGCGTTGAGTCGGCCAGTGGCGATTGCAAATCGTATGGATGCCCGTACCGCTTCGAGGTTTGGGGCCCAGTTTTGATCATCTGATGGTGATTTCCCTCCCAGGAAGAAGGATATGTTGCCTCTGTGGGTGTTGGTGCATTGTAGCATTTCTGCTCGATGTGCTGTCCACTTTCGACATCGAAAGAGGAAGTGCTCTACAGTCTCTCTTGCCTGTCCACATGCACACTGATCTGTCTGCGCTGCGTTGATTCGGTAGAGATACCCATTCAATCTTGCCATGCCTGTTCGGAGTTGAGCCAATGCGCTTGCTTCGTTCCATGATAATCGATCATATAGCTGTCGGGTGTGTTTGCCTGGGAGTGCCGCATCCACTCTTTTGGCGTGTTTCCCAACTTTCTCTGGGAGGCCTCTGTTGGTGCTTACTTGGGACCGTGCAATATTGAGGGTGGTGGATTTCATTCTGGGGAGCTCTGTGTATGGAATGGCATCGTCTTGGGTCGCTTCCCTGGCCTGCTCTTTAGCCAGGCCTAACAGTTTATTATCCTCGCTTGTAGGGACCCAACGGATATTGACCCCATTTCCGTTCTTCTGCAGTCTCTTAATCAACTTGTATATTTGGCAAACATATTCCTGGCCTGACTGCTGTCGCGGACTTCTCAGTGCAAGTGCGGCCGCTTTGTTGCTTGTTAGCAGCATAATTCTGTACAGCTTCAGTACCGGTAGCGTTCTCAATGCGTGTGCCATTGCAGCCAGCTCCCCCGAGTATGGGTTCTGCTCTGATCTTGTGCCAAGTGTGACAAAGAAGGACTTCAGTTTCGGCTTTTTATACTTGGGCGGCTGCTTCTGGACAACTCCGCCAAATCCTACCACCCCATTCCGTGCTGAGCTGCTCACTGCAATCTGCATTGATCCACCGGTTTCTGTCTGTGTCTCTAGGGTTTCCCCACTATCGGCCTGCATTCGTTCCTCCCATGGCGCTAATGTAAATGGGTTAATGGTTTCCAGTGTTTCCATTTCTATGTCCTTCAGCGCGTCTGCCACCTGATATAGCGGCGAGCGATGGTATCTTCTGAACTTCCTGATACGGGCTGTATTCCTGCGGAGTGGGTTGGTTTCTGGTAGGGTGTGGATGTCTGTCCACATCTTCACTGCCCGTTTCCAGAGCCGGCTGTGTGCGGTGGCAATGTGGGCCTCGGCTTCTGCCACACTTGTCGCAACTGTGAGGAAGGTTCCTACAATCGCTTGAGCTCCAACCCTTTGGACCCGGTTAATGGGCCCCATGGCCTTATCTTTGAAAGCGTGCATCCAAACGTTAGAGGCATAGTCTACCACTGGGGTAACAGTTGATGTGAATAGCTGCCGCGCTGTTGATGGGGATAGACCTCTAAGTCGTCTAAGCTCCATTGCTGCTTCGAGGCCCTTGGACGCTGTCCTTGCTATATGTTCCTTGTATTTAAGTCTAGTGTCCATCAACACTCCTAGAATCTTGACGTGGTCTTTGGGTTCAACAGCCTGTCCCTTGATGATGAAAGGCTCCTGTTCTGATTTGTATGCTTTGGGGGTAAAGTATATAATGGCTGTTTTCTCTGCTTCAAACGTTGCTCCACTTCTCCTCTCCCAGTCAAGCGCTTCTTTAATAATTGCTTCAATATCTTTCCGGTTACTCTGCACTGTTGGCCCTGTCACCCATGCAGTGAAGTTATCCACAAAAGCAACCGCTCCTCCGTTACTGTCAATCTGTCGTTGCACTAGGTCTGCATTGAAGAAGAGGAATAAGATCGGGGATAGAGGTAAGCCCTGAGGTAGCCCCGCCTGTGGAAGGCTTTGGGCCTCGGACACTTGCCCATTAATTTGGATAACCGCTGTCCGCTCTGAGCAGAACGCCTCAATCCACCGGATCAGCTTCTCTGGTATGCCTCGCGCCCTCATCCTCTGGAGCAGTCTTTCCTTGCAGACCCCATTATAGGCTCCTTTAACATCAAAGCTAATCAGGCTCACGACCCGTCGGCCCCGCCAGGCCGTGTAGATCTGCTCCTGCAGGAGCAGGAGGGCCTGTTCCGCCGATCGTTGTTTTCGGGCTCCAAAGTGGCTGGTTGGGAGCAGGCCGTATGTCTCCACCGCGTGCGAGATTCTTTCTGCAACCACCGATTCTAGTATTTTACCAAGTGTCGCCAGAAGTAAGATGGGCCTCCAGGCTTTTGCAATAGTGTAGTTCTCTTTGTTCGGCTTTTTGAGTGGTATAATCTTTGCATGTCTCCACTGACTTGGTAGCGTGCCTTCTTCCAGGGACGCGTGGAATAGGTCAAGAACCCTGTGCTTGACCGCGGGCCAAGTCATCTTCCAAACTATTGCCGGTAGGCCGTCTTCTCCAGGTGCCTTCCATGATTTTGCTGCAAATAGCTGTTGTTCTACTTCCTCCATGGTGATAGTAGGCATCTCTACTGGCGCTCTTTGGGGTCTGGGCTCTTCCTCATCAATATTGTCCGGCAGGGAAGGAAAGAATTTGGTTAATAGTTCTTCGGCTTGTTCCTCATGATCGGTGGTGGTGGTTCCATCTGCTCTGACAAGCTGCAATACTTTCCCAAATGCTACATCCTCTCCCGACTTTAGGTACTTGGCTGCCTTCCATATATCGTCATTGTCTGCGAGAAATTCATTCCAGTGCTTTTTCTTTTATTGCCGGATGGCGTCGTGATATTGCTTCCCTGCGCTTTTGGCCGCCCTTTCCAGGTGTGCTGCGGCTCGGCCCGCCCTTCGCTCTGACCGAGCGTGGTTTCTCCAGTATGTGTATATATAACGGAGCTGTGTCAAGTCCGTTGTCCACCATCGCTTTGCGTATGGTGACGGTTTGGCCTTTGGAGTCAAGGCATGAACTGCTTCCAACACCGCTGTCATTAGTCAGTCAGTTTTCTGTTGCACTGTGCCTTCCGACAGTGGCGTCTAGGGTTCTCGCGATTTTGGCATTGATCTCCTTCCATGGCGCGTTTTTGAGTAGAAGTCGCTCCGGTTGTTTTGAACCCGGCCTCGGGGCTTCAAGCACAGTTTCAATCGTGTGGTAGTCAGAGCCGTGTTCTGTCCCATGTATTGCATATTTTACCAAAGAATCTGTCAGATTCTCAGAGGCAAGGACGAGGTCGATTGTGGATTCATGATCTCCATCCGGCCCTCCACCATGCCATGTCTTCGTGCCTCGTTTAAGTACACTGCTCAGAGCAAATTCATTCATAAAATCAATGATTGGATCCGCTTCTCCCTGTCTTTCCAAAGACGCATCGTCTCCTCCCCAAAGTTGATCATGGCGGTTAAAGTCTCCCACAATCATTATCTCTACTACTGTGCCCGTGTCTCGCCTTACCTTTGTGATAGCTTTGCGTAAGCTATTGCATGTGTCATGCAAAGCCTGGGCATCTCCTCCCTCTACATAAACTGATGCCATAAAAATCAATCGTTCGGGGAGTCGGATGACCACTGCTGTCAGATCCGGGAATTCTATTGGCACTTGTTCCGCTTCCACATCCTTATTTATCCATAGCATGCTTCTAATTGCCCATCTGCCTTCCCTCCATGTGGAGGGGACTATCTTTATCCATTTGTGATGCCCCATTGGGGTTGTTAAGAGTCGGCCTTCAATTCTTCTTGCTTGAGGCTCTTGGATTGCTATTGCCACTGCGTCCTGGATTCCTTCGTCGTTCATTAAGCTGTCATGCACTGTGCCCTGTTTCCTTACATTTAGCTGGATTATTCGGAGTGTTCTATTCATGCTGTGCAGGATAGACCTTCCGACAGTTTTTGCTGTACGATTCGTGTGGGCCTCCGCACGGAACGCACCGAGGAACCGTTCCGTTGCAAATACTGTGGTGGTGGCCTTCCTTGGCGCATTTCGCGCACTTCTGGGCGTTCTTGCATTGGAATGCCTTATGGCCAATCTCTTGGCAGTTATAGCATTGTACCGGCCGTGGTCGATATTCAAAGGTGCTGGTTACGCCCGATTCTCCGCCAGCGTGGAAGAACCCGTCAGCCAGGAGTCTCCGTGCGTCGGTGCCTTTGGTTAGATACACGACCATGGATCCATAGGCCTTCGTACTCTCTTTTCTGCTGAGCCGTGAAATTTTGGCCACAGTGGCCTCATTTTCCTCACTGAATGCTGTTGCGGCTCCAGTTCTGACATCACCTTTTTCATCTAGCACTGCGGTCTTCTTGACACTGTCGACTTTGATCAGGTAAAGCTCGTCACGGAGCACCCGGGCTCCCGCACCGATCTTTGTTTCTGCGATTTTCTTAACCATCTGGTGTTCAGCTTCATCTCGGCAAGCAATCCTAATCCGATTGGTGTTCCTTGGGTCCACAGTAACCGCGCGGCATCGCCAGTTCATGTGGTTTTCCATTGTTCGGACTTCTGCCTCAACTGCGGCCCTGATTGGGCCTGCAGATATCCTATCGTTTTCGTTCTCTGCCATATTGGAAGTATCTATCGTGCAATACAATGTATCGGTGAAGGTAGTCGGTGTTGTGTTGAACGATGAGAGAGTTCGTATGTTGCTCGGTTGGCTAGTTGGAGGGGTGCGGGCAACATCTGCATAAGACAAGCTGTTTGTAGGACCTGCAGAAGTGATTGACGTGCGTAGGGATTGGATTTCGCGGAGGATCTCTTCGTGGCCGTTTTGTGAACATGACTCGGAATGGGATTGCAGTGTCAGCGTTTGTAACTCGTGTCAGACCTCTGCTAGGGCAGCACTAAATTCTTCTTTAACTCTCTTTAGTTCATCCCTGTGCAAGTCATCTCGTCGTCTGATCTCTCTCCTGAGTTTGGTGAGCTCCTCCACCAGTTGGACGGAATCCAAGTCCTCGGCCTCCACCGAGGAGTCATCCGAGGTTTGTTTGTCATGTTGGATTGCTGGGCGGCCTTGCGTTTTCTTCCTCTGTTGGGAGCGCGTGACTCTCTGCTCTATTTCTTTCTCTTGTTCTTGAACATAATTTTTTGGTGGTTTAGTGGTGCGTTTCGGTCTTGATAACCGCGGTGGTGAGCCTTCGCGTTCGTCGCGGTCCGGTGGTTCAGGGGTTCGCGTCGCGGCCCGTCCCGCCGGGAGGTGACCCGGGGGCATTTTTCGCAGAGTCGGTAGTGAAGAACCTCAAAGTTCCCAGGTTTCGCAGGTTGTTACAGGGTCCTCTGGCTCAGTCCCCCAGGGCTTACAGGGAACTCTGTACTTCATATATTGAACAGTCAGTGGGGTTTCCCATTTGATACGGGAATAAGCAAAACCAGTTTCACCGCCCAGAACACTCTTTCTCTTTCTTAACGCCACTGCCCAGACACCAGCCACAGAATTAGGTACACGTGGAATGACTGCTGTATATATAATACGGTATTTGTCAAGTCACGTGGGTGACTACCTCTTGTAACCAGGGCCCAAATAAATAACTATCAACTAGGTATTAAGAAGTCTAAGGTACATGCTCTACAGTTTTATATTCTGTCCCTATCAAAGACCACATGTTACCGTGATCTGTACCATGTAGCAGATGTTCATGCCCATCAAATGTAGATTATTTTGGTGAGGATTTAACATATCAACCTGAAAAGATAGTAACATTGGTGGCCTAGCGGTCATTTTGGTTGATAGAATGTCTTCTTTGGACGACGGAATATTATCATTATATTAGTAGTGTCAACATAGATATACTTGGTCTACACCAGTAATACAGCGGTTAATTAATGAATGAATAAGGGTCTAAATTCCTAAAAGATCTGTGTAATCTGGCAGTTTGCACAGACTGTGTGACTACATACACTGCACCGGGGTTGGAGATGATATGCCACTGGGCCATTGCCACACGTACACTAATGGGATATCACCTTATTTTCAGCTTTTGATTGCCTTCTCAAATCCAAAGTGTTCATGAATACTTACACATATGTACATGCATGAAACCAACCTCGGCGATATTGCTGGGTGTAAAAAGGGATAGCAGTGGAAGTGCCTTTCACCATAACAATGGCAGCTTATCTGGAACTGTTAATAATCACATAACATATGACCACTATTTCTGATATGAGCGCACGCTATTGCTATGACTTACTTGACACACACTTATCCCAGCCTGTATGAGGGTTCTATTGCCGCATTGTGGCAGGTCCAAGCTATGAATATAAGGCGACAGGCAGGAGCCATCGGTGATACGACATTTCGAATCCAGAAGAAAACGCATAGTATATGCCAAGAAAACATTCACCAAAACCAAGTTCTTCTAGCTTTGAATAGGTTTGTTCCCAGAAACAATAGAATTCTTCCTCAGTCAAGAACCATTAGAGCCATATGGACTAAGTGCGGGGTTTTGTTGGAACGTGGCTGCCTCCTATTGGCTTGGGTTCTCGCTTTCAGTCTTTGTATTCGAATTCGGCCCCGATCTGGTGGAGTAACTTCCGTGTGTTGTGATTCAGGATTAATTGTTATTATTCTTATCTGAAAGCTTGAGGGTTTATATATGAAATGAATATCAGATTGATCGGAAATCAATCTTTCAATACGAAATTCTATAAGAGAGACGTCTCCTGATGTGTGCCCTAGGACAACTGTACGCTCTTTAACTACTGAACATGATGGCCGACGCCCCGGAGGCAGCCATAGGATTTTTACACCGTTAAGCGATATCCAATGGTCTTCTATCAATAACTCGGCGGCGGTAAGGGCAACAACAGAGGTGCGATTGTTAGGTGAGAATTAAATACTTAGCTGACCAATGTTCATTTCTAGGAAAGCACCGCGATTTGAAAATCCTATATCAGTGACAACTTCTTCGACTGACAGATTTTGTTTCACGGCCCCAGTGATAGGATCCCAGATCTTGACTATGTTATTAATGGAATCTGATGCCAGCAGTTGACAGTCAGGTGAGAATGCTACAGCCCTGACTGCCCCTGAATTACCATCCAGGGTGTGTTGCAGGGTTCCAGTACTAGTATCCCAGAGTTTAATTGTGCCGTCATTGGAGCCTGATACAAGAAACCGACCACCTGGCGAGAAGGTAATGGCCCAAATAAAATCCAAATGACCCTCTAAAGTCTGTAGCAATGTTCCAGTAGTGGCATCCCAGAGCTTGACTGTTTCATCAATGGAGCCAGATGTTAGTATCTTGCTGTCCGGTGACAATGCAACGACACCTACTGAGCCCCAATGGCCGTCCATAATCTGCCGTGCGGCCCTCTTATCGATAAAGTTGCCTTGCAAGGCTTCAGTGGTGATGTCCTAGAGCTTAGCTGTGCTGTCAAAAGAACCTATTGCCAGTAGTTGACTGTCTGGTGAGAAAGCTACTGCCCAAACCGAAAATGTGTGGCCCTCTAGAGTTCGTCGTAGGGCACCGGTGGTGGTATCCCAGAGCCTTATTGTACTGTCATGGGTGCCAGATGCCAGAAGTCGGCTGTCCGGTGAAAATGCCACAGCCCCAACCGAACCTTGATAGCCGTCCAGGGTCTTTCGCAGAGGCCCTTCAACAGTAAATCTTTGTTTTAAAGCGCCAGTGCCGGTATCCCAGAGCTTTATAGTACTATCATGAGAACCTGACGCTAGTAACCGACCGCAGGGCGAGAATGCAACGGCCCGAACCCAATCTAAATGTCCCTCTAGACTCTGTTGCAATGATCCAGTCATAGTATCTCAGAGCTTGATAGTCTTATCATGGGAACATGTTGCCAGTACTTGGCTGTCTGGTGAAAAGGCGACCGCTCCGACTGCGCCCAAATGGCCTTCTAGAGTTTGTAGTTCTGCACCCCAATTTTTTGACCTTTGACAACCTCCTTATCCCGCTAGGGAGCTCTCTGCCGAATAAGATTCTTATTAAGGACCTTTCCGGTGCGAATATGAGGCACGAAGAATATAGTTGGAGCGGCGCGATATTAGCGATATGCCTATTTCTGAGTATAAATCGCCTCAGATCGAGTATAAATTGTGCTATTTCAGAATCCTTATTACTCCAAGTCAGAAAAGTCAGAAATTTCACTGTATTATTAGTAAACTATTAAACACCGGCCTGCTTGTTAACAGAAATCGTAGCTGCAGTGAACTTGACTTTTGGACCCGTGGCAAGAGACGGAGAATAACCCGGACATCATCTTCCTGGTCACATTCATCCAATGCATCAATCACGATCACCATAATCATACTTGTGCGCTGGCTGATTGCAAGAAGTGGCTGCAGAATAAGTTTCTCAAATTGTTCCCTAAGCACCCGTTCTGGAATATCTGGATCCTCCTCGATTGCCTTTTGGATACTGGGGCCCATTTGAGGTATAGTGCCTCCTAATTGTTTGGCAAGTGTCGAAAAGAGCACTTTGGCATTCCCTCGGTCTTGTTCACCCCTTTTGAAGAAGAAGCTCCCTGCAAGGCGATTTTGTTCTTTCAAATGGCCTGCAATAGTCTGGGAAATTGTTGACTTTCCCGTCCCGGCCATGCCGTTTAACCAAAAAATACATTTTCCACCGGATGTCTTGGACCAGTTGTCAATTTCGCGGAGAAGCTTGACTCGGGTCCCGGGAAGGCACTCAGTGTGTTGGTTTTCGTAGTCATTAAATGTTGCCCCTTTTGCGACATGTAACCGGCTAATATCTATCTTTTGGTTGATAAGATTGGCAGATCTCCTTAGTTATAACATTAGCTCGATTACCCACTAAGGATAGGGTTATACACCTACGTTTGGTCAACGAGCAATGATAAGTTGAACAACATTTTGTATCTCTCGATCTCGCTGATCGCCTTGACCACCTCCTCACGTTTTAAAGGCCATTTGAATGCTCGGAGCCCCCATTTCCTCATCCGTCTCTGTGTTGTTTCTGGATCGATTTTCTCCCTCAATGTCGTGAGAATTGAGGAGCATTTTGCAATATTGTCGATTAGGTCTTGGGAAACGAGTTTCGTACTGTTCGTGCTATTAAGAAGCTTGCTGAGCGGATTGAGTACCTGAGAAAGGGCGTCGACCTCCTCCCGAAGGTGGAGGATATCTTGCTTCGCTTCTTCAACTTTCTTGATGTAACTTCCACATATCTGCACGATGGCCCCTGTTAGTTGGATGACTGCGATAACGCTTGCTGCACCAGAAAGTGGTTCCATGTTCGGGACTGTCAGGATAGGCTCGCTAATTAACAGAGAAGCATGTGTTGTTCAACAGTCATGAATATTCTTAGGGAGATTGCCATGGAATACAGATCACAGATTTAGGTATGAGAAAGACGGGCAGGCGCTTGGAGCGAGGCTGAAGATGGTAATGCACTTCATCCTTATTGGTGTACAAAGCGCCGACCTTCCTATTGGTCTGCTAGAAGATAAAGTAACTAAACATTGTAATGAGGCAAAATACAGGACTGTTTCATATCCACGAGACACATCCATTATGCAAGGTATTCTGCCCTCACTTTTTTAGGGAGCTCTGGGAAAGCGTCCAAGACTCTTAAGGTAACACACGTCACGGGACCAGTTCTTCTCCCTACCACAACTTCACAAGGTCCCAGCATCACGAACCCCACCCCATTTCTTCTCGTCTTTGGCTTCAGTTTTGCCCGTTGCCCATCATGGCACCGCTACTTGTCGCCTCACAGCTTTTCGTGATATGGCAGTAATTCGCTAACTACATCCCGAATGGCCGTGGCAGCCGGCTGCAGCAAGCGTTCGGCCATCAACATCCGCACTAACCTGCGTCAATTCGGAAATGTTCGAGCTCTCCCAACCCTCCTCCCCTTAACTAGCGGTCGACCAAGATAACTGAGACAATGCTGAACGCTATCTGCAACCGTTTATAAGAGAGCCCAGACCTATATTGAGATGAGATGACTTGAATCAACGTGCACTGTTAGCTGAGCACTTCGGTCGATCGGGTGGTCTAGTAAGGCGGCTCGAAACGTAGCCAAGGAAAGAGATGGAAACTTGTGGTATTGCTACCTCCACAATCTATTGGAGTTTCGTTCGTATCATTTAGTCTATACAGATGAATCGGAATGAGATAAGCGAGCAGGGCATAGGGAAATAGGCTGGTGACCCCTCGGGATAACGCCGGTTCAGAAGTCACCTGGCTCCACAGAGGCCAACGGTATCAAATATTGCACCCTATGCGCAGGGCGGGATTATTCTTTGTCGAGACTTCCGGGGTTAACAGACGCCACAATGTTCGAGGATTTTATTGAGCAACTTCTGCAGCACTGTAGCAGGTAGCCAGCACCGAAGTCCCATTCTAGTTATTAATAACGCATCCTTCCATTGCACTGAGCGCTTGGAAGAATTGTACTCTTCTGCAGGTGTTTACTATGTACCTTACTCGCCTGGTCTCAATCCAATTGAGGAATCCATGCAGAGTTGAAACTTTATAGAAAGAAACTACCGTTAATGTGCAGGCCAGGACTTCGGCAATTTTCTTGAGTTATGCATTGATATTGTAGGCGCACGATAGCAGAGTCCCAAAGGTCATTTTTGGCAGGCTTACATTATTATTAAAAATCCGCAATAATATTATATTGCTTTACATATCTAATTTATGATAGAGAGCTAGTAGCTGTTTATATATATTGGTATTTTACTTATTGTTCACTATTATTCAACACATTCGCCGTTCAAAATAATACAGTAAACTCTTGCTACTATTTAAATCTGTTAGATTTAACGGCGTACAATTCTACTATGTACGATGAAATAACAGTGAATCTTCGATACTGAGGTTTATAAAACTGCAGAGCAGAGAAACTGTGCCTGACAATTGTGGCTTGATGAATGCATGTGATCTGAGTAAGACGAATACTGTATTGTATTATAGTTACAAGTGTCATTTTATGACCTAATTTGCGGCTAGTGTCTTGGCAGTAGCGTTCAGAGAGAGCAACAGTGAACCAGGCGGTGAAACTGGTTTTGCTCGTCCCTGTATTAAACGTGACTTTATTCCTTTGTCAGGGTGGAATTCCAGCGGGTATATGGGAAGACTCGAGATATCAATCGGCCCTCGAAAGACCTCTATTTGCACCTTCTCGGTCGACTCGCCGAACAGTTCTCCGTCGAAGTCGAAATATTCGGCATGTACCTCAAAACAGTCTACCTTGCGAACGGTCTGAGTCTCCAGTCCGAAGCTAAACCTGGCACATCTGGGCAGACCAGTGGAGGGGCAAGTCATGTAGGCCAACGTGCCTGGTTTGAAGCAAGGCCATAGAAGATCGTATGTAATCTTCCGATGCGCCAGAAGGGAGGAGAGTCGTTCTGAGGTAGACTGGTATGTCTTCTCCATATACTGGACCAATAACCTAAGATGGATGGTGCCCTCAATGTTGTATTCTTCTGGGCCCGTGTTCGACCGCAGCTGATTTCTCATCTCGGGCAGAAAATGATACAAGAATTTCTGCTCTACCTAATACTGCTATCAATGCAAGTGTTTCTGTGAGAAGGAGTGGCACAATACCTCAGGCTTGTCTGCCTCGAGACCTGCTATGCCGACATCTCTCAATATGACCCTCAAGGCGTCTCGTAAAGTGGGTGACTTGAGTCCATGACTCATTCCCTATCACAACCCTAATCGTCCAACCAAAACTGCGAGATAGGTTCCTATCGCACTAGGAATACAGTGCCACGGAACCCAAAACACCATGGGGGAACGTTCAATGAAAATGAAGGCCTGAGTTGGAAATTCAATGCTTTAGGAAATCGCAAGCTAAGGTATAACTATATTTCAGACATTACAATAATAGGCCACGGATTCCTTTCGTTTTGCAAAAGGACGACAATAGCAGTCCGGAAAGTTATACAACTGCTGACTGGCAAGACTAAGCAAGCTTGAACAAGGTAAAAGAGTGCAGACTATTCTATAGAATGCTCTTGGTATGAAAGAAAGTTTAGACATTTCGGCCGCATCTTTACTTCACATGTTTTTGTACAACCCCCACTTTTGACTTTCCGCTGAGCAGATATCGAAGCAACCTGGTCAGTACACGTGTTACTTCAAGCCAATCTTCTTTGAGGAATAAGTTATAGCTCCGAGTAAATTGTAGACTAACAGGCTCTTGATCGAAATGTCCCTGTGCATATACTCTGGAGATAAGATCTTTTGCAAAGAACCCACGAGCTATGTGGAGATAAGGACCGTGGAAACCAACTATAAAAACTTCTTGATCTTGGAAACCTGTATCCAGGATACTAAGATTTTTAGTAAGCTGTCCCAACATTGTACTGAAAGTTTCTCTTAAAAGTCCATTCCAAGTTTGCCCTGGAAACCACTAAATAGGATCAGCAGAGTTCCTACTCAAATAGATTATTATATAAGTTCCCCGGTAAAAGAGATTATTGGTAAATATTGAGCTCTTGGTCCAACAATAGCGGCGCCCTCTGGTCTGGTAGCAAATCATTCACCACCAATCGTATATCTCAATTCATGTCCATGTGTAGTAAACCTAGAGAGATTAGTAACGCTATATGTAGAAAAAGCTAAGAAACGTACTCAACTTTGGGATCCTGCTCTTTGACATTACTAAGATTGACATAGATAGTCTCTATTAGCATTTTAGATATTGTGCACTGGTCATGTATAAGATATTTAGATGGTTCTCTTCCAGGTATGTGCCAACTCTTTCTGGGCAAGGTGATTGTTTCGCTGGGTACAAAGACATTTGAGATCCCTGTATCATCAAAGGCGTTTCCTTGTAGATTGCATCGGTAGGAAAGTAAGTAATAGAAGACTGAACCGAATTTGCAGTCTTCTTTAGGCCCACAAAGTATGCGATCCTCGTCTACAATATCCGAATGTTGAAAAACCCAAGGAACGAGTCTCTCCACATCCTCATCTTAGATAACATGTTCAGCAGAAGATATCAACAGTACAGGGATATATATACCTTCGCGTTCACGGTCTATGATTCTGGGTATCATACCGTCAAGTCCAACCACATTGGAGTTAATAGTTACTGACATTGTAGTGATAAAGGAATAAAGGAAATCAGCAGTGCATAAGTTGGAAGTTGGGAAGCTAGCAGAATAATATAGTTACGGCTCCCGGAGGCGGTCAGTCGCTAGTTGATGACTGATTTAATTTGATTGGCTTGATAATTGACATTTCACTTTCAGAGCTATGCGGCTAGGACTCAGGTGACTCGGGTCGGTTGTGGAAGCGAATGTATGCTTGTCCTATTGGGTGGCCGGAACGGCCAAACTATCTAAATAACTAGCTTACTAAATGATGACTAAGCGAGATCGAACCAATAGGGCATGCGGCGCAGGACGACCGTATGTTCCAACATCGGTTCTATTAGGGCTAGTACTTTATCATCAATTTATTTAATCTTGAATTCTCTAAAGTAGGAATGACATCAACCTGCAAGGTATGCTATATTAAGCTCTATGCTAAAGCAGATTACTTAGGTAATTACCTCACAGGTTGGGAGCCATGTTGAATTAAGATATCCAGTAATCGTGACTAGGTGACTATAATGAAAGCTATCGCTCAACTATCTATATCCTACCACCTTTAATCATTCTGGCTGGCAAACAACATCAACCAATATGGTATACAAACATACCAGCAGACTGGGTGACCGGCGTTAGTTAAAACGGTTGGATAAATAGCCCACTAGGAGCGCCTTGGCTAAGGAGATCTTTAATAAGTATACTAAACTGCGTACAATTGGCAAGTGTAGGTTGCTTATTTTAGGTGGCCATGGAAGTCATGCAACTGTTGAATTTGACCATTTTGTAAGGAGAACGATATTTATATATCCTTATCTACCGCCTCATTCTTCCCTCCATCTTCAACGGCTCAATGTTACCTATTTTCGTACTTTGGAAAGCGTATACGGTGATTAGGTTCAAGACTGGGCGTATCATGATGCTAGCTATATTGACAAGAGGTCTCTTAAAGATCCATATGGAGATACGCCCCAAGACCTTTACTGTATCTAAGATAGGCAGTAGCTTAAACTTACTAGTATAATTCCTTATAAGCCGGCTAGAGTGCTTGATCAACTTCCTCAAAAACTCTTACTCCGCCTGGCAGTTCTCATAGCAAGGTGTCCTCTAATTGGGCTGCTGAGACTCCTACAAATACCGAGAAGCTGTAAAAGTAATTTGAGCTTATCAAGCGTCTCTAGCAGCGTACAGAGAGTTCTCCCAACCCAATAGTGACAGGCTGCTCAGATATTCTGCAGGGAAGATTAAGGCCGCCAGCGGGGAGAAGTCTGTGTTGTGGGGTGAGGCTCGGCCAGGCAAACTATGGAGCTTCAGATACGGAATAGATTCCATATAAGGATCGGATTGATTTTCAATCAATCTTATGTTCAACCTGTACAGTATATAAACCTCAGGTTTACAGAAGTAATGAAGAATAATTATCTTCCTTTAATTACAACACAAGGTACTGTACACAATCACAGCTTAGTATCTTATTTATGGCATCAAGGCCTTGCTAATAAGTTCATTTGCTCCCTATTGAAACTGAAGCTTTGAAATTGCTATTTTCACCCATGATTGAAACGCGTGTTACTTTGAGAGATCAGTTCATGACATTCTCATCAATTCAGTGAACAACTCGAAATGTTTCTTGTCAATCCAGCACTTCACCAGGAATTGACTTTTTTTACCAGCGGCTGCATCAATTTCTCGTTCGTCAAGAACAACGATACCCTCGACCTCGTCTTCATCATTCTGTATATGTCAACATTTTCCCGCTGATGTGGGATTTCGTAAGCACCTACAGAACTTAAACTCGATCCCTCGTCATTGGTCGATTCATCAGAGCCAAGGAGCTCGTATTCTGCATATCCTTCAATTCCGGACCCGAAGGCCTCTATTTCGTGGCCGTTGAAAGCGTATGCATCGTCTAGCTCTGATTCCGTGTATTCTGACTCTGACTCGGTATTCCACTCCCTTTTCTCAAGCTCTTTGGGGTCAATGATCTGTCTACTATTTATTGACTGCTCCTCAACACTCCAAGGGTAAAGATGTGCCATGATGATGCTTTCCGCTTTAGATCTATTTGTATTATGGAAAACCTGATCTCATGCTTTGTTGTAGAGCATAGGAAAACGATTATTTATACATCATCCTTCAGTGAAATTCTACAAATGAATGGACCATTTTATCGCGTACCACTAAGTTAAGGTAGAGATTGACTTTGATGTCTGGTCATTCTAGTTGTGATAACTTTGTGGGGTAAGCAGGCATCAGTGGCCTAATATTAATCAGAAAAAACGAGTCAACTAACAGTTATAGTACCGTAGGGGCCGGTTTCGCAGATTTAATATGCCTCTGTGTGAACCACAAATGTAGTGTAGGCCTCTGAAAAGAAATGGAAGGGGGACAGTGAGGGGAGTAGACTGCCTGGGCTTCAGGGTATGCCGAATCTAAGTGGGCGTTTCCTTTTCTATTTCTTTTCCATCCTTCATGTTCACCTTATTATCATTTGATTTAGTGACTGTTCTGCCTGGCACAGGCTAATATTTTCACAGGCCCAGTTATTTTACAAAACAGCTTTCCCTACAACGCAGGCACAAAAAGCTCAAAGTTCCTATAGGATAGCGGCTGTCAGGACCTAGGCCGAACCCTGCCTGAGGCACCAAGTCCGCTTTATTCACTGATTGATCTGATCCTACAACACAAAATCCCACAGTTCTTGCTTGTATGATAGAATTCTTTCCTTCTTTTTCTCTTCCTTCTCTACATTTGATGTTTTGTTAGATCGCTACGTTAGATATCAATGTGAATAGGATCACTACAGCGGCCCTTTCAACAGCATTGAACAGCAAGATGACACCGCAATTAGATGGTACACCCCGTTCTGACTGGCTCTAGCCCAGAATTATGATAGGAAATCAGCTCTTATATTCTCTTTAACCCCTTCTCTAAAGACCTATGTATTACTAGCGAATGGATACTGATATTAATAAGCTGTAAAGGGGCGTGTTTGTAGGCAACGGAAATGCAAGAAATGCTCAGTAGATGCAGGTAGCTTGTGCAGAAGTTTAATGTCTTGTTGATGTGCTAAACCTATGTGATGCTGAAAACATACGGTCAGGAATTGATTATTTATCTATATATGTTTACAAACATTCGCTGCTATATGGACCAGCCTCAAGATAAAATATAGCAACATGCTAAGTAAACATCCTCATCCTTCCGCAGCTCTTACCCGTAAAACTGTCTAACCTAAATATCCGCCCAAAAAAAACATCTGTTCGAGTACTTTTCTTTTGGAGTGGCTATATTCGAAATTTATAGCAAAACTGTAGTCTGCGTGATGGTAATACGTATCAAGAGCAATTTAATTATCTGCCTCTATTCTCCGCGGCATTCATCGGCATACTTCTCAGATAGGACTAGGTTTGGTCCAAAACTCCGCTTCTCTGGCTCAGCTTAAAACTAACTGCTACAGTCCTAGGGCTCTCTCTTATCGAAAAGCTCCGACAGATGTAGGTTGAGCATGTCTAGAGCGGGGGTGACTTTGTCTTTCATCTCCTGGAACTTGCGGTCTTGGGATTCTGCAACATGTTTCCACTGCAATATTTCTCGCTGTAGTCCCTCACGCTCTCTTTCCCGTTCTCTCTGAATATTAAATATCTCCTGCTCCTGTTTCTCGCGAAGGTTCTTGTTGTCAGCAATTGCCTCATGCACCTCTCGCTCAAGCCTCTGTATCGTGGCCGTGAAACTGTCATCAGATCCCAAATCATGGTGTTCGTCCTACAGAATAAGAAGTTATTAAAAGTAACGATAGGCTCAGGGTTTCTTACAGTCATGCATACCTCCCTCCAGGGGTCTTCCTGCTGCAAGTTTTTGGGGGACACTGCCTCTATAAGGTTACCGGAATTCAAGGCGTCGCAAATCTTTTGGAAGACTCCGATGCTTCCGCGACTCAAATCTGAGTTGAAGAGGGAATCCACGGATTTGGCAACGTTCCACCTATATGGGTCATCGTGCCGTGGTCGTAAGCGAATGCTTCCTGGTGGGACTCTAAGGCCAAGTTGCTTATCTATATAGAGTGAGTGAGTACATAGCTGAGAACGCAAAATATTACAGGAGCCCGTCAACAGGTGGGACCTGAAGCCGATATAATATCAAAGGCTCCTCTTTTACTTCTCAAACTCTATTCCCGGCGTTGGAACTAAGGCTTGAGAACAAAACGGAGTATTTGGGGACTTCTGTAGGGGGAGTGATAAGCCTTACGAATGTGCTCTGCTAGCGCCATGCGACATTTATTCCTCCAGAATGCCCGCTTCTGGTTACTCGATGTGGTCATCCTGAACGTATAGTACCTGATAAACGATCAGTGCGGAGCGGCTGAAGAGCGAAAGAGATCTCGGGGAATTGCAGCGGAATTTATAGAGATAAGTGTATGTAAGCAATTATTGCGATTTCATACCTCCTCATGGGGCACTCCAGATAAAGATTTATACTTTAGGAATTGTATAGTCCCCAATTGTGGTTCAATATGAGATGTGTTTGATTGAAATGTTCAAAAATTGAGGTGAATCTCAAACCTTATTCCCCTACGCATAATTGATCGGGCGGAGCCTCGAAGTTCACTCTTGCACCTCCGACGCTCGAGCACTTCAATATGTTAAGCCATATATCAAATGTGCGGAGCCTAAATCTTATGGTTCTGGAAGCAATGGCTGTTTTGGTTTGCTCGCCCGGGACAAACTTACTAAGAAATTGGATGCCACCACTGATTTTTATGGGGGATTTGAAAGAATACCCAGTACGTGGTAGAGCCAGCTTGTGAAGTAGTCTGCCATTTTCGCTGACCGGCTAACTACTCAGCGTGTAAGTTTACGAGCAGCTAAATGAAGCTACAGATTTCACAGTACTGTACATATGATAAGGAAATAAATTCTTAAGCATTGTATGACAAACAGCTAAGCCCACAGTAACAGGCAAAGAATCACATAGCTACTTTCTGTCCAGAAAACTAATTTGGGGTTCTCTATACAAGCATTATCTAGGTCTAATACAATGAGGTTATCTTAATAACCAATATAAACTAACAAGGCTCGAGTTTTGACATCTAGACACAAAAACGGATCATTTCTCCGCCACTAGTACGTGCATGTCATTTGCAGTAGGTGCGTTTTCAAGATGTACTGCAGACAGTTTGAACGCTATGTATAGAAAATAGCTTAGGAGTCTATTTTCTTTTGTGTAGCGCTGGACGACTTTTCTAAATTTCGCGTTTCTCTTCATCAAGCGAAGTGCCGAGCTAAGCAATTGAGGGTAATTCCTTCTATGTAAAGCAATCCACAGTGTGTTCGCTCCACGTCGACGACGGAGGTGATGACTTTCACTAAATGTTTTCTGAAAATGGTCTAGAAGGCTGTTCATCAATAATACTTTGTCATATACTGGTGTAGTATTTTCCTTTTGTGCCCCTCGCTGCTTTCTAGCGGCTAAATTTGGAGGATGATATAGAACTTTTGATAGGGGCGCTCGAGCAAGTTGCGCGTACTTTAGTAAAGTACGGTGAAAGCCGGGCCTCAAGAGGCGGCGGTACATAACGGAGAGACACAAATTGATATCTTCGGAGTTATATTCAGTCCTACGTGGGATTCCCTCTGTTTGCGGCCCTTCCATGTGCTGCTGAGGATTGCTAGGTTCCTTCTCTAACACTTTAACGGGATTAGTTCCCTCCTGTATTGAACCAGACAAGTGCTGTTCCTGTGGGCTTGCTGTGTTTAGCATCAGTAAAAGCAGAAAGACGCATAGCTCAGGCAGTGTTAGATTGGAGCGAGGAATGCTTTCAGTTAATGCTATAGCTCCACTAGTCATTTTCGACGACGGAGCGGCTGACGGTGATTGCCCTGGTAGGCCATATACTAAGGTTTACGGTCCTTTTAAAGCTCACAAGCCTACTACATGGAATCTCGATCAATTATTCGCGAAACATGTTATGAGGGCCGTAAAAAGATAGGCCATCGCAAACCGGTAGCTAGACATCAATAGAATGAAAATTCTGCGTAACTCCCGACAGAAACTCAGCCCCTCTCTTTCTTGTTCGCCACGTCAACGATCGTCGTCTTCGAGCCGGTGTTCAACTAACAAGCTAGGCTAATTAGTGTGCCGAAACACATGTTGTTGCTCCCTTCATTTTACTATCCTCGATATGCTACCTACTATAACAAAAGTATTGCACTTGTAGGCAGTGGTTGGCATATTTTGGAATGTTCGCTGGGCTCCCTTACTAGCTTCAGGATTGTCTAATCGGAGGACGTTAGACTATTGGTTACATATTTTAATGATCAATTCACTGCTGTGCTTCCCAATACTGTACTGTACTACATGCATTGTCATCCCTCAATATAGCACTGCAATTAGCCAGGTGCGAGGCGACGAGGTCTACTCTATATTTATTCCTTATGAAAATTTAATTTTATCATATACATATAAAACAGATTATAAAAGTTAATTGTGTCTAGCCAATGACTCCATTAAGTCCCACGATACAAGGAGTCTTAAGCATACTTGAGGGACTACCAATTGTAGGAGGTATAATCAATTGACATTCTGAAAAGGTTGCCAAATGAGCTGTTCCAGGTGGCTCTTAAATAGATGATTAGAAAAAGATATCGTATGTCAAAAGGATCTAGCTAGGTTACGATAGATCTCTACTAGGATACAGCGAATTCTACAACATACAACACATTACCACATTCGTAGTCAGCCAGTGTTATGTAAAATAGCTTTAATGACCGACATCTCACGGCGGGAAAGCTACATGTAGTCCTGTGCGTAAACAAGTGGAGGTATGCGCAAGCATTCCAGCCTATGTTTCAAATCGCTATATGCATTTGGACTATGGCTCAAAGCAACAGTGTGCCGCAGGCCGAGGATCTCCCTTAAAACCCTATTTAAGCCTAGGTGTCTTTTAACTGTTCAACTGCTGTGCACATGTATGCTTGACATATAGTACTGTTATCATGGACTGATTGGCTGGCATTGTTTCCGCCATCCGTAAAAAACTGATCCAGGGATGCATCTCCGTCCCACTTTGGCAAGGGATGCCGGTCATTTACCAGAGAAAACGGTAGATTAATAAATGGAAGAGCTGGAGGCTCTAGGAAGCCTTGTGAAAGATGACCTTTAGGGACATAGTCCGCCGGCGTCTTGTGAATGACTGGGACATTCTGCGCTCGCTAGACTATGATCAGTGACACCACAAAGGCTCTTCTCTCTATTAAACTCACGATCTGCTCCTCAGATGGTACAGGCTCATCAGGGTCTGTTGCGAAAATGTAGATCCTACCACTTGGCATCCGCATAGTCAGCCAAATTTCTATCTCGTAGCGGTCATTAAATTCCTTCAGTCGTTTAAACAAGTTATGTCGACGCTTGCGGATCTGTTCCTGCTGGGTGCGATCTCCCTGGGTGCGGTAGGACTTTTTAATCTTCGATGACACCTTCATTATTAGCCCTCTCGTATTTCGATAATAATACAAAATTGCATTTAAATGAGAATTACACCAGATGGCTATATATCATTCAGTCCATGTGTCTACATACGTATGAGGACAAGGACCTCAGGTTTTTACGAAAACATTATCGCTTCGCTTAACAGTTGTTGATGCCATATCAATTTATTTGAACAGGCATCTGCGCTCTGAAAGAACGATGCTACACAGGCCTTAATTTCACAGAGCTATGAGATTGGGAAAAGAAAGAGAGGGTCAGTCGATTTCAATGAACAATTTTGCATAGCAGCGGCCAGCACGGGGAAGAAGGGTTTTCCAATGCGCTACGGCTTATGTGAGGATGCCCATGAAACCTAGATCCATGTCGCACGCACTCCACAGTCATCAGTAATATGCCAAAATCTCTTCCAATCAGCCTCCGCCTGTGCCTCTTGCACTTGTGTCATTTTGACGGCAGTGTTCAGCCTCTGGATCACATCATAAAGGAAGGGGTCTCTTGATGGACGAGACTCGGGCTCAAAGAAGGATTGCAGCAGAAGCTTCTGCGATACGTCTGCCACCTTGCTGTGTAGACCACGGTAACCATCATAGCAGATGCCGTAGAACTCGTTCTCTTGCTGATGCCACGCGAGCTCTTCCTCCAACTCTGACAAGCGCTCGTCCCTCGACTGCACCTTATGCGACTTTGACGCTTGGAGCCGGGAGCGCATGGTTTCCAAAGCGATAGTAGATCCCTGAGCAGACTGAATAGCATGGTCCATACGATTAATTTCCGGAGAGTCCGACGAGATACTGTTGTTGTTAGTTCGACGATGGCGAGGTAAGTTAGACGGCAGTTCGACTTCAACGGAAGCTACTGAGCGTGTCGATCGGCTGTATATACTTGACGAACTGTCTGGTTTGGGGGAATGGTAAGGGTTGAACGGATGTTCGTGCATCGTGGATAATAGTCTCCAGAGAGGCTATTGCCAACAGCAAGTTCACTATATATCCGAAGCTGCCATAATTCCACGTATCTGTCAATATATATGGTTCTATGACAAGTGCCTGACTGACAAGATCCTGTCTCCGGAATATTCTATTTCTATATCCCGACTGGCAAATATTAAGTTAGAACACAGTGGTTACCGTCCCTCTTTTCTATAAGGCGAACTATTTACGTACTTATATACTAATCAGTATATGTATAGGTAGGTATACATAAAGCCTCCGTGAAGGCATCTGCAACAAGAATCCTCTTTGACGAAGTTCAGTCATAACTACACAGCCTAGTCAGCTTGTTGCTGACATACAGTCTGTTCCGTGATCTTTTCTCACAAGAAAAGGAGGAGCTATCAACGGTGCTGCCCACTACTAATGTCGGCCCTCCATGATACTCCAAGCCAGGTACTTTTCTTGCTGTTGCTGATCGAGCTTGTTTTTTCGTCCCGCAACCCCCACACACGCACATCAAATTTCCCTTTTGCCCTTTATTTCACTTCTGATCTTTGTTGATCTTTTTTAATTTCGTTTTGTTTATCTGTATACAGCAAATGAATGTCTTTACCAGGATGCCGTTGTTGTGCAACATCACACTAACTGGGCCAGGCCCACCCCGTGTATGAGCTTCCTCCGGCTCCGGATATCGCCCACGAATGGTCGCCTTGGACCGCCAGCTTGGAGAGGCAGATTGCGGATGCGCGCAGGCTGTGTGAAGTCCATCGAAGAAGCGAAGCGATTTTGAACGAGTTGAACCAGCGCCAAAGCGATACCATATTGACGCTAGCTACTGCCCTGGACCGACTCTTGAGCGGGGGCCCGTCACCGGAGCCGGGGTCGGAATCTGGCATGTCCACCCTGGTGCGGGATCTGCAGACAAGCCAAAGGGACCGTGCATACCTAGCTGAGACGATTATCGACCAGCGGCAGGTCATAGAACATCAAGAACGTCACAACTCCCTACTCCTGCGACAGAACGCGGAACTGCATCTGATGATCGCTCGGGTTATCCAACAGAACTGGCCAACGGGAAGTGTGGGAGTCGGTGATCGATGATTGACCAAGGAAGAAGGAAGCCCAACTACCGTGTCTGCTATGCCAAATCTAGTTGAATGAAATTGTTGGAAAACGAGCCTATTGTTCGCAGGGGTTCATTGCCTTCTGTGTAATTGTCCTACTTCAGTGTCACGTCAGTTGCTCTGCAAGCAGAGTACGTGTGCACCGCCGTTACTGCTGAGTTGAATATTAGGAATGTTCGTTGGGTCGGGTAGTAGACACAATGAAAAAGACTGGTTATGATTTTAACATGTAGGAATCAGGATAGATAGCCCCCCTGACTCGAGAGGGAAACCGGGAAAACCCCCCTTCCCCCCCAAAAAAAGGATAGCAGATAAAGACAAGAAAAATCGAAGTAAAAGCAAGGCAGCGCGGAAAAAAGAAAAAAAAAATCTATGTACCTGGGGAAAACCGAAGCTCTGGCGTTTCCGGGCGGTTCCGCCGGTTATAAGTCGGCGCTTCATATACCTGAACTTGCTCGATTAGGCAGGAAGCCCCACACTTCTAAGGAGAAGTACAAAGGCAAATCAGGAATAGCTATATTCCTTCCATCGTCGTGCGAATGTCCCCTCCACTAATAGTCAACTTAACCTTCTAGGATACCACTTTCGGTAATTGCTGCCGGCAAGACCTTCCTAGGCAGGCAGGATGAGGGCCAGAATGTACAAAAGGCAAAGGCAGGACTGCTCGAGCTTACCAGCGCTTAGTGTTGAGTGAGTGACCAATACAGGCCGACCGCTCACGGAGCGAATAAGTATCCGTTCCACTGACGGCTTGTTACTACTCTGTGATCGAGCTGGGACCATTGCTTTGGAGAGCCGTTCCGCTTATCGAGTCTAGATCTGGGCCGCCACCCACTAGTGTCTAGCCACTACTTATGTCTAATTTCTGTTGTTGACTTTTTGTGGTTTTGTTTCTATTTTTGTTTTCTTCTTTGGGATATTTTGGGGGTTTTTATTTTTACCCCTGTTCATTTCCTTTGTCTAACCTAGTTATTTATTGTTTTCTCCATCTTTGGCGGCAAGAGGAAGAAGGTCTCGAGTTTTACTTCTCTTCTGGGAAGGTGGACCGTGCATGTCGGTTCCCAACCAATCCAGGTAGTTGATGGCCCATGACTGCAGTTCCACAAGACAAGGTATTCTTCAGTGCTCTGTGCTCCATTATATCAGCAGGTACAATGCATTGCAGCAAACAAAAGAGCCCCGGGTATTTTGGCCTTTGATTACTTCTAGCATGCAGGGCAGGCCAACCCTGGGCCGACGATATGCATTGCCATGCATGCCCTAATCCGGGCCAAAGACCTGGGATCGATAGATCGTCGACCGGTCCACACGCAGTTTAGTCCATAGTCTACTGGTCCATAGGTTGTTACAGAGCTTTTTTGTTCTTCACTCCCACCCTTTTCACGGAGTTTCTTCTTTGTTCGGTAAATAGCCTAGAAACAAGATAATACACTAAAAGTGCAAGAAAATTCGCCACTCCTCACCCTACACATCCGTCGGTGGATACTCATGTCGGGCTGATCCGCGAGCAAAGCCAAACCGGCTGGGCCGGACCTCCTATGAGCACCATCAACAATTGCCCAGGGGTTGGAATGAGTTCCGTACGCGATCTATGCCTTCCACAGCCATCGCCATGTAGGAACAGTGCCCTGAAATATTAAATGCTGCTGTAGTCTGGCTGCCGGTCTCTAGATCACCAGTTGAGCACCATGATTTACCGCATTCCTGTCAACTACCCTGATCTCTGCAGAGCTTGTTGATGGTCTCCGTCGTCCAAGTCCTCATACCCTTGACATGTTCCCACATCATCATCATGATTCGACGGTTCTCACTGCAACAAGCGGTCAGCACTCGGTCGTTCCACCTGTCCATGGCAACGCCTTCCGGCCGAGCCGCTACAGTACCTGATGTCGTTCGTGTTCCTACCCGTCATGAAGGTAAGCCGACGATTCGCCGAAATTGCCTCTCGCTGGAGATAAAGGGCGGTTAAGAAAATTCCCGACCACTTACCGCTCACTTGCCTCATTTAAGGTTTGGTTCAGTGTTCCATAGGATGGTTAGCTTGCCGGGTAGAAGGGAAGGATTGAGGGCAGGAGGCGATACTGGATATCCCCCTTGAATTCATCTCGAAAGCTTTGCATGATCATTAGACCTGTGGCCTACCAGGTGGTCCCATCGTGGAGCTTACCGATCCATATCCACCTGTAACTGGCTGTGTCGCATCATGAGTCCTCGTATTTCTCTAGTAGTCAAACCGAGTGCTGGTGTTCTTACCGGACATCTTCAACAACTCTGAGTCCGAATTTACGTAAGCCAATGATGTAGTAGTGGTTAGACAAAGAGACTTACGCTTTTAGCACGTTCTTTGCTTCGTCGCTGGCCCTTATTAGCATTGATGGTAGGCGCGGTAAGCGGAGAACCTCCAAGGAAAGAACATGAATGGCTGCTATACCTTTGGCAGAGTGAGCAGGCAGAACAGCTTTCCTTGTCTGAGCCAAGGCAATCAGCTTCCACGTCATTCTGGTTATTCCCAGGCAGGCCATGAGCAACCACTTCCTTGATATAGTCCACCCACGGATTTGAGCTAGCACCCGCCATGCCAATGTCTTTTCGGGACATGGAATGATTGGGTGCGGGATTATGGACAAATCCTGTCTTTCGCTCCTAGAATGACTAAGATTACTCGAGACCAGGGTGTCTTCTTTTGCTACTCCAGTTTAGCTGGAAAGGAGCAAATAGGAAAGGAAACCGCAATAAAGATCGGAGAAAAATGGAGGTTCATGTATTAGGATCTAGTAAAATAGAGAAATATATAGTTCTACACAGCCGCACTAAAGTGATGGTCAGGAGTCCCTAGCATATTCAATCCATACAGGTCAGTTTCTGTTACAAGGCCTTCACCTTGTGACTGCGCTGGTGCATGTAGTTGTCCCGGATGAACAAATGCTCCCTGTGGCTGGGCCATGGGTTGAGCAGAAAGTGTAGTGTCCGCCTGTTGCATCACAGCGGCCTGCGTCGATGCCTGCTGGAAGCCACCGGCATGGGATGTCCATTGCGGGCCAGGTTGGGGGTAGGTTGTGTGAGAGGACGGTTGCGACGGCCACGCTGGACCAATGTAGGGCGGGGCGGAAGGCATGTGACCAGCAAAATGCGGCTGTGAGAAACCATATGCCAGAGTAGTAGAGTATGCCGGATGGTTCACAAACGGCTGAGGGGGATGCGGCATGCCTACTTGGCTTCCGTGGCTCATGAGATGGCCAGGATATGACACTGGTACAGCTCCCGGCATTGCGAGCGAAGGACCAGCCGGATTGTGAGGGGCGGTGTTCATCGTCCATGAAGTATGTTGCACCTGGGGCGCGGCCTCCATAAGAGCAGAGGGCCTTGCAGGATGTCCCGCAGGGGGCGGCGCCTGGGGCTGAACCCCACCATCCGACAGCCCTCCAACCTGAGCATCAGGGAGATGGTCGGACATGCTACTGTCCAACGCCGGAGGTTGCTCACCGGGAACCTGGTTCTGTCGTTGTTGGGAGCTTTGCTGCTGCGACTGGATATTGCCAGTGACTGTTGCTGGCGCTGCGTGTCTAGTCTGCTGTATTGATAGAGATTTTTGCTGAGGCGTTGAAGACGAACTCGACGTTGACGGCACCGGCAGGCCGTCTGGCCGGTCACTTCCGGCAGTTTCCTGTTGAACCGTGTCCGTCGGCTCGCCGGAGCTGCGTGTCAAAGGTGAAGGAGACGAGCAGGGAGACTCGCTACCAGGTGAACCGGGCTTGTCTTGACCGGACACCCACGGTAGTTTGTCCTGCAGAATGAAGCCGGTATAGGGCCCTTTCTCGATAAGGGCGAGCAGTGCGGTCTGTGCAGCATCGGACATTGTTGCTTTTCTCAAAAATGGAAGATAACGTGGGAATTCTTCAAACCCCATTTTGAGCATCGTAAACGTGTTCGCCATCGTTTTCCAGTACTCCGCCAGTTCCCCATCAGCCAACCGTGTAAGCTAGGGATAGTTAAGATGATATAGTTTACTCAATGAAGACAGAGCATACTCACTGCCTCACTTATTTCTTTCTGCTGTGTTATTGCCTCGACATCTTTGCTGGGCTCAGGCCCGGACCCTTCGTGGACATCTTCCCGCAGCTTCTCGCTGTATGTATGACCTTGTTGGATTGGGTTGCTAGAGTTGTTCGGACTGACAGATTTGGGTCCTGACAGTCTACGCGCTTCTCGCCCTCTCCTCCAGGGGTGCCGTTGGTGCCGTTTCCTTTTGGGAGGCTTTGCAGGAGTCCGCGGGCTTTGTGCCATGATCCAAAGAGTGTATCTGAGAACGGGTTGGAGATATGTTTGCCTCCCAAGTCTCAAGCATCAACAGTAGAAATCAGATTGATGGACCTGCCACACAAGAAATGTAATTCTTATAGTCATAGTCCACAGCCAATTTGGCGGGACACTGCTCTTTTTTTTTCTCATCTTTTTTCCTTGTGTGTGGTTGCCTTGACAGGGTTTTACCAACATTGTCCCGGAGATTTGGTAAATTAGTTGGAGCGAAGCGGAGACTCGTTCAATACTGGCATTTAACTGCTGGTCAGTCCGTCACAGGCGAACTGGCATGGGTGCAACAGATAGTTGCGGTGGGGCCACCAGTGGCAATTAAATTCCACAGCGGTTTGAGCAGAGTCAGGGGGGTAATTGAGGCCCTCGAAAAGTCAGGAACGCGGTCCATGAATTGCCAAGCAATTAGGAAGCCAATGCCTGCTAGCGTGTCAACTAGTCCCCACTCCCACAGTAACATCGCACAGGCGATGCCTCTATTGCTGCTGAACAAACCAGACGGTTCGGAATGTGTTGCACCGTCCAAAATCGTTGAATTCCGACCAACCAAAGTTATTAGTCAACTGAGACAGCTTCCAAAATGAGTTGGACTTGGAGTCCACCCAGGAAAGACGGCAGGTAAATCCAAGAGGGTCATAAACAGACAAGCAGCCCTCTGTCCTAAGTCCGGATTCTCCCACTTATACCATAATAACAACATCAACACTCTATCCTCCTCCCCCCAAAAAAGAAGAGAAAAGATCATCTCTATACAAAGCACCTCTGGGAGCAAGTGTTCGCTATCCAGGAAGAGGAAAGTATCCAGCAACCATGAAGTGGGAACTAAAGGAACTGAAGGCCGTTCCCCTTATCACTAGACTGAGGAAAGCTAATATCCCTTGGAAAATAATAAGAAAGCTGTGGTATAGAAGATTCCGGACAACAAGAACTATTGGCTCTCTGCGCGGCCAGTGGTATCGATTTAGATGGGGTTGGGTCCCCAAAGATGAGGAGAATGATGGGGTGGAGAAAAGCCCGCCAGCATCCCCTGAGCTTAGGATAACAACAGAGCCAGAGAAATATATTGAGGAGACACTCGACCAGACATGCCGTTATTTGCCTCCATCTGGAAGACAATCGATCAGGAGTGTCTCTCCAAGCCCTGAGCCATCTCCAGTGCCAGTGTCTGAGGGCCCTCAAACACCTCCGGTCCAGCCACCAATTAAACCTCCGCCAGAGACCCTTACCCTGAATATGGTCAAGCAAAAGCCGGCTCGTCCACCGCTTGACAAGGAGCAGGAACGACAGTTGATGAAGATGTCACTTGAATACTGTAAGTACCGCCTGAACTTGACATCTGTGGCATGAACCCTGAACTGACCCGCAGCCAGTGATCAGACAGGCAGCAACTACCAATAGAAGTGTGTCATCATCACCCAGTCCCTTTATCTCGACTTTCGGACCGCGCGCGCGGAGTGTATAATATCACAAGACCACCACTGCTTTACTGGCGGCCCTTCACACAATCTCATGCAGGGCTCCCACATACCTCAATGGGAAAGTAGAGGCCATTCACAATAGAAGGGGATACATAGGCCAAGGAGCCGGTTTCCCTCCTCATTCTTTCTTTTTCTATTTTTGATTCTAGACCCGAGCAGTTGTTTAGTTCCGGCTGTCCTTTCTTCTCTGCATTCTCCTACCCTCTTTTCTCTCTTCTTGTCTTTCCCTCTTGCCTGGTTTAACTTTTCCACCCTCTCGTTCTGTAAATAGATTAGACAAATCCAGCAATAGAACACAGCTCAGATCTGTTAGCTCCTTCCAATAAATGTCTTGTTCTCCCTATATTGCAGGCCATCCATCTACCTCTTTATAAAAATGGTATTGTTAGAGGTATTGAGGACTGGCTATTTGGGAGGCTGCCTTTGAGAATGTATGCAGCCCCTTCCTATCAGTCCCATCTTATCACGGGTGACCTGATCCTTCCGAAAGGTAAGCAAATAAAGCGTAGCAGGGAGATTCCGAATGCCCCCCCAAAGATGCAGCAACTCACCATTAGAACTATCGAGTCTAGCATGATGGTAGGCCGTCAGGAGCCATCGCGTGAGTACCATAAAACGCCTGACAACCACAGTACAAGAGCAAACCGAAGGGACGCAAAAGGGACCAAGATACAGATGAAGTGAAGAATACCATCTGAAGGACAGACACTCAGGGCCAGATCCTGATTTCGTGAGTATGGCCGCTTGGTTAGGGTTGGAGCGCGAGGATGGGGCCTGGACCGTTACAGACAGCAGCGCCATGCGGCGGATCATTGACAGGATAGATGACCCTCCCAGTCAGTATCCCTCCATGCAGTTATTTGTTGGACGAACAGCCAAGGCGCAGGCGCTCCGATCACTCTATCCGTATAACAATATCAGTCGACATCAGAAACACGGCTTTGCCCGGCTGCATCTGTCCAGCGGAGCCTCGTCCCATCCGCTATTATTCATCGAAAGCAGTCTCGCCCCAGAGGCTAAGCCCTGGCAACCCCAGCAGGAACCACTCCGCCGGCACCACCTCCCAAACACCCAAGATCACACGTGCCAGGACGTCCAGGTACTGCTGTATCAACGCCTCCTGCTCCCGCTGGTGGACACGGTGTGTCTCTTTGCGGCCGATTTCGGGGGCGTTCGGCGAGTCCAACACCTTCTGGAGTCGTGGGATCCGTTGTCGCTGGCGGGTCTTGATGGCAAAGGACTCTTCCGTCCACGCTTGGTAGTCGTCCTGACCGACGCCGGGGACGATCCGGTTAACGTGGAGGCGATGGAAAACGCACTGCAGGCCACGGTCGTCCCCCGCCTAGTCGCATCTGTATCGATGGTAGACCTGCGGGATCGATGTCCGCTGTCCCCGCTCAGTCGTTTTGAGCCCCTCCGGCAACGGCTGTCGCGGGAGATGGACGAGGCACGCGTCGCGCGGTCCAAGGCGCATCTACTCTTCTCTGCTGTCCACCTGGAGTGGATCTTCCGGAGGCTGCTACAGCATATCGCACAAGCGCCCTCGTCGCCATTCGATTGCATCAATGCCTGTCGTCCAAAGCAGACTGGCAGCGATGAGACCATCCAATACCTGGGGATCTTTTTAGGCGTTGCCGAACAGGTCCACATCCCGCCCACTTCCATGGCGACCTTCATCGCATCAGCTTACCTCATGGATGCATACCCGCCGGGAATGCACGGTAAGTGGTATCAGACCAACCGCGCGCCCATCGTGGCGTGCGTCGTGGGTAGGGAGCGCTTACTGATCGATGCAGGATTCGACCCGGTCATGATGTACCGGAGCCTCTATGGCGGGCCCTGCAAGGCTGCGTGTGCCGCGTCTTCGTACGCCGGGAGGCACGGCCTCCATCACGATATCGAACGAGAGTTCGTGTCGCTGTTTCCCGCCATCGCCATGGCTGGCGGCCGGTCCGCGCGGGTTCGGCGGGACACATTCCGGAACGAGGCGTCGGTCTGGTCGACGGTCAAATCGAATCATGTCTGTCTGTTCTGTCTGCGGCGCCCTCCGGAGCACGTCCTGCCCTGCGGGCATACCATTTGCGATATTTGCGCGTGCATCTTTGGCAGGCGCGGCGCGGGGGCAGAATACCACATAGAGCTGACCTCCTGCCCGGCCTGCCAGAGGCGTTTCACTTTCACCGTCCGCTTGCTCCCACCGACCAAACGGCCCACCATCCTGGTCTTGGACGGTGGAGGTGTCCGTGGTGTGGTCACGCTCGGTTTCTTGAAAGCCCTCGAGGATCAGATCGGTGGCGCACGGGGGCTGCGCGAAGCATTCGACCTCACGTTGGGAACCAGTGCCGGTAAGTTATTTTGCAGAAGGGGTTGGCAGTATGGTTCAGCAATGCGTTGGCTTCACAGTATCTTGCATCGTTCCGCGTTGGCCTGTGTTGTTCTGCGTTGGTCTGCGTTGATCTACGTTGTTGTCGTACGGTGTGGTCTCACTTGACACAATCGGACTGAACAAGGCTCCCCTATAGGTGCCGTCATCACATCCGAGCTGATGGTCCGCGGTGCGTGTGTCAGCGAGGCCCACCCCAAATTCGAAGCCCTGGCGCGGCAGATCTTTCCCCCACGACCCCGTTGGCACACGGTTTTGGGGCAATCGTGGGACTGGCTGACGACCTGGTTGGCCGACAGCCGGTACGATTCGGGTGTCCTAGATCAAACCCTGCTGGAAGCTTTTGGGCCCTGCCGTCAACTGTTCGATACCCCCGTGTCCCTGATGTCCGGCATCCGAGTGGCCCTAACAGCCAGCCAGGTTGAAAACGGTTCGCTCTGTCTGTTCTCCAACTACCGGGCGGCTGGCCGCTCTGGCTCGCCATCTGCCTATAAAGTATTAATACCGGAGAAAGAGCCTTTTTTATGGGAAATGTAAGTCACCCTCCTGTACACCCCTTTCTAGTCTGCGGTAGGGGTAAGAGCAGAGAGGTGTAGCCAGGAAGGAGCCAAGGGGCAAAGAAGTGAAGGTATATAGATGGCAACAGGCAAGAAGCCATAAGAGATGAAGCTGGGGATGAACAGGGGAAACCATTCTTTTTCCCCTAAATCTTCTCTGTCCATTGCCACGCCGGTTTCACATCGGTTCCACTCCTCCAGTTTCTTTCAGGTCCCCTATTCCAGGTTGGCTAACCTCATGACCGCAGCGCACGATGCAGTGTGGCTGCCCTAGGGTAGGTGTTCTCCGATGGAGAGCCTCAAACCAAACCCCCAGAGCATTAACCTCAGCAGGTATTTCACGCCGAAACACCTTCCGGGAATTGGCACCCTGCAGGACGGCGGGGTCCGGGCCAATTGCCCACTCCGAGTCGCCCTCCGCGAGAGTGAGATCATCTGGCCCTCGGCCCAGAGACCGGACCTTGTGGTAAGCATCGGCACCGGCTATGCAGCGGAGGCATCGACCTCCCCAACCGACAACCCGGGCCGTCTGCTGCGGGACCGCTTCCTCGAGAGGGCCGTCCGGACTTTTCTATCCTCGCCGGCGGTCGACGGCCGACGAGGCTGGCAGGACGCCTTGGACAGCATCCCCGAGACCGTCCGGCGGGATACGTTCCGCCTCGACCGCAGGATCGCGGGGAAGTTACCTGAGCTCGATGACGCACGTGCGCTGGGCGAACTAGGTGAGTTTGACTACCGCATCCCTGAGGAGCTCACCCGGGCTTGGCTGGCCAAATCGTTCTTCTTTGAACTAGACGAGGAGCCCACCATGGCCCACGGGCACTACGAGTGCCGTGGGTCGATCCTATGTTGTAAGTATGGTGCAGCAGGCATCCTCCAGCAGATCACATCCCTGTTCCCAGGTGCACGCGTCGAGTTCTCTGACGGCACCAACCTCGGAGCGCTCGATGACCACCAGGGTTGCTCTACTTGTGGTTACTATCGGAAGCGCATCTCCCTCCGCGTTTCCAGCGTGCACGAGACCATAGAGCTCAGGGTCCGGGACAACACCGGGTGCGTCGCCATCGGCGGCTTTCCAACGTCCATCCACGATCTCCTGGACAGACAACAGACCGACTGCCCATTTGGGCGAGCTGACCATCGCAGTGACCTTTGGCCTCCTGTGCGTCAGTGCTACTGCACGGGCCGGAAGCGATCGCGCGCATCCATGCAGACCGAGAGATCGTCCAAGAGACGACGGCTCTAGGATCAGGCCAAGGTCCGATGCATTAAGACTGAAACGACCGCAAAGACGGCCATTGGTAAGTACGCAGGGAATGGAAAGAGGTGAGAAAGAGAAGGAAAAAAAAAAAAA